TATTTGACTTTTGAATTGAAAATAAATGATTCTAAATTGTAACTATGGCTTCAATAGACCAATAAATACAAATAAATTCTTGACTGATCAAAAATTATTCATTCATATGCTCTACAAAATCTCAGGAACTTCCATAATCTCTTTACTCATAATTGAAATACAGATTTTCAATTGAATAAATGAATCTTATTTTATGGTGAGCACACATTTAATATGAAAGATACTTTATACTTTGAATTTTATTCTTATCTCTTGGAAAAAAAGAATATCTTTTACATTTGAATGAAAACTGAGCAAATATTAACTCGTAAATTTATAACGTTGATTAATACTTTGAGAATAGTTTAATATTTCCTCTCGCTTTTAAAAATAAAGGATTTTTTTATATATATTAGATTTTTCTTGTCAAACGTTTTCTTTTGCTCTACATATAAAGTTACATTGTTGACAGTTTTATTTTCAGAGTACATAGTTTTTTTTATTATTTTTATCAAGGATAAACACTCAATATTTGAATAATCAACTTATATAGTTTGCTGATTATTGAGCTTAGAAAAACAATACCAGAAGGATATCATCTGTGACAGAAATATGTTATTATATTTTCATTAATATATACAAGAGACTAATGTACAACAAATACAAGATATTGAATTTCTTATTATGGCTGACGACATCAATAGAATATAGAAGAATTATTATACAAAATGAGCCATAAATAGCTCTATGATAGAAAGCTGAAATATCTTCGCTTTGATTCGATTGAATCAGTTGAATTTTTAGTTAATAATAATCTTATTTTAAGTTTTCTTTTCATATAAATAACGTAAACAAATATTAATGTCAAGCTATATCTTTTTTTTTGATGTCACTAAAGAAACTTCATCTGTTGTCGAATAAGAAAAATACATATAAAGTATTTCATAGAAAATTTTCCGTTGTCATCGAAGATAATAACAATAGGTCAAGACGACATGTATAAATGATACTATATTGATGCACATAAAGCAAGTTTTCTAAACAAATTCGTTGAAACTTTGTTTTCATGATACCAACAATAATACTTAGCAGTAATATATTTTTATTTTGTTTTTTTATCCTAGTGTTATTTATGGTCGTGAAAAAGATAAAGAACAAATATGCAAACACATGAGCAATAATAGAAAAAGACGACTACTGGAACAAATTAAAACGTTCGGTGTAGGCAAGAAACGTAATTGAAGCAGAAGGGATTGACAATTATTTTTCAACAATTCCGAACACTTGAACTAGAAAAACAATTCAAAAATTTATTTGAAATGTCAGAACAGTTTTCAAAAAAAAAATAAGAACAGACTTTCAAGAATAACTATTCGAAAACTATGAATCTCAGGAAGTTCAATACAGCAAAAAAAAACAAATGTATTAGTCGTAGACAAACTTAAATGCACTATTAAAGATGTGTGAGAATAAGAAAATTGAAGATTTTTTATTAAACCTACGACTGAACAATTCATTAACATTTCATGAATTCAAAGACAAGTTGATACTATTTTCATCAGTATTAGAAAAGCATAATGAGTTTATTAATATTAGTGCATTCATCTATTTATTAGCATACAGTGTTTGATTACTCTTGAACGAACATGCTTGTCGTTGTTATTAATATCTTTAACTACAAAAAAAAAATCCTTTTAACATATATCGAGAAATTTCATGCAACTATAGTAAATAATATTATTTCAAAACTGTAGCTCAATACTGATATGCAGAAAACGAAAGTTAAATGTAACAGTGTCAAATAAACACTATACTTGATGTAGAAGCATACATAACAAAAAATTCTTAGACTAGAGAGAACACTGACCTTTGAAAATATCTAATTATTATTGATCTTCTAAGTCTTTCAATAGCGTACATTGGATTACACTTTTACTAACTAATTCTATCAAAGCATGTTGTCTATATTTAATATCCTTATACGTACTTTTCTAAGAAATATTAATTATTAGACAGATGTCAGTGAAAATGTATAGAGAGAACAATTTTGATGAGCTTTAACTGAACGAAGAATTTCATGGGACTGTGAAGAAAGCAGTGGAATCAAGAACTCTGATTTTTATATCTTACTTACGATGAAGACGTTTCACTGTACAAAACAAGGATGTTAATATTTTTAGAAGTATCTTCTATTGCCTATTCCTTTTCTTCTTTTGCTTATCGTTGATTACTACTTTACTTAGCCTTTCTTACGGTTTTAGTATTATAATTGAGTGCTTTATACGCAATTTATAATGTCTAGTATATCCATCTTTAATATTTTCTACTTTTCATTCATTTCTTCCATTTATTTATTTATTTATTTATATTTCGTTATTTACTTTTGACAGATTTAAAGGCCTTTCCCATTTACAAAAAAGAAAAAAATAAACGTTTTAACTGTTTATGCTCATCGTAAAGTTATGTGCAAATCCAAACCGTTTAATATAAAAACCGCGTAATTAATAATTCAAATATTCTCAGGACTCAACAATCTTTTTCATTGTGTTTGCATGTAACATTTTTCTAACGTTCTTCAATGATTTCGTTTTCATAATATTTATTTCAAAAACCAAATTCCTAAATCTCATCATACATAATTTTTTTTTCTTTGTTCAACTTTAAATTTTCTATGCCACTTTTGTCATCAGTTGAATATATATTTGTTTGCTAAGCATTGCACTTTTTATATCCTCATATCAATTTCATCATTACAAGGAATTGATGACTACTAGAACTTAAGTTCCATCATACTGCTCCAGCTATTTTAAATTTTTAATAAGATCACCCGATTACTGCAAAAGATAAATATTCTATAATATTAACAATACTATCAAATAAAACTATTTTCGTGTCTGTGAAAAAAGTTAATAAGCATCCATTTTACTGTAAAACTCATTTCATTAATTTATAATGCATGTGTATACTCATTAGTTGTCTGTAATGCAGTACAAAAACACAAGCAATCTTCGCAGTAAGTTTAATATGAGTATTAAATATCTATTACATGAGTTTGAGAAGATTTGTAAGATGAAGTTCAACAGGTAGAGATAACGTTGTTTTTAGTAGAAGCAAAGGCGTAAAAGTAATTTTATAACACGAGACTTCTCTTTGTGTCATAAAACGAGTATTAGGTAAAATTTCGTTCTAATGTGTCCATGAATAAAGTATTCATATATATTTGCTTTTAACAAAACAATTACAAAGGTCAATGTTATTGATACTCGAAATATTCTCGTTTTGGACAACTGATTATATACATGTATATATATATTTCTTCTTATGCTTAGTTCCCAATGTATCCATAAATCGATAGGTCGAAATATGATCTTTTTATGTGATGGATCAAATTGTTGACGGAAACACAACAGACTGTAAAATACAATTAAACTGATAGTTTACTTGAATGAACTTGTAATATCAAGTGTGCGTTGGTATTTGACATCAATGTGTTTTAATATTCAGCTAAATACAAAATAGTTCATTTGATTGCACAAAGAGTAGACTTTTTAGATAATAGATAAATAACTGAAGTATATTTCCTGTAAGATTTTTCTTTTCTTTTTTTTGTTTTTTCTATTTGTAAAAAATTACGAATTTACATAAGGAGTTATAACTGTTGAATAATAATTTGAGAACATATGAATAATAGTTTGCTTGATCCTATCTGCATGGAATGCAGCTCAAATGAAAAGTTATTTTATTAGTACAAATGAATAAAATCGTTTACTTTCAATTATGACAGCTTGAAAGACAACGAAGTTTCTACGCAAAGATGATCGAGGTTTTTTTGATTATGAAAAAACTAAAAACACACTTAAAGGTCATAAGATAAGACTTAACTTGTGTTGATATGATTATCACTCGAGATTTAATGTGAAGAACAGCATATCATTCATGTAAGAGCGCCGAATGATGATATAATATTACAAAAATCATATAGATCCATTGATTATATTCTCTGTGATCATCAAAAAGAAACATTGACAGTGATTGGAACGCTATTATCAATATGTCAAGTTTAGAACCATTATTTCAATATGATTTTTTTATTAGAAAATTCTTTTCATCTATCTCAAAAAAAAAAAAACATTTTAGCCAGCATGCGAGCAGATGTTGTATGTCTGTGCATTATATGTCCAACTTGGCAAATATTGAAATAGAGCAAAAAAAAAAAAGATGACTGAAGGTTTATGTATTTCTTTCTCTTTGATGTGGTAATATACGTGATGTCAGTTGGTAGAAATAAGAAGAAAAAAGAAGAGAAGGTTGAACATTCACATTGTCTCACACTGTACTCTCATGTTTTTAATTACCTTGATATTTACCGACAACCTTTTGTCTGAACATTCTATACATACATTTGTTTTAATTGATTAGCAATGGTATCAAATGTTTCTTTTTGTGTCTTTCATTCTCATATTCTATAGTAACAATCAAGATAACGTATTTATCGTTTGTTTGCTCATCATCATCATCATCATTTTTTTTCTCTTCTTATATTAATACTCTGATATATCTTGCGAGTCAAGACTACATTTTTTTCTCTCGATTGTTCTCTTTCTATCGATCGTTCTCCGTAATCTATATCATTCGGTCAATAGACGAGAAAGAACAATACTAGCAGAAGAAAAAAATATACGAGACATCTATAAGCGATCATCGTTATTCTATAAGATAGCTAAATATTCTGTCCTTTTACGTACATCAGACTCAAATCGCAACGATTATATTAATAAAATGTAAGTTTATATTCAAACAAAACAATATAAAAACGATTATATTAATCTTGAATATGTTTTTTTTATCAACCTTCATATTTTTACCTCATCTGAATAATATTAAATATGGCCAAGACATAGAGAGAGTATTATATAATCGCAATATAAATCACCTGCTTATAACTTGCAGACGTGTATTCTTGCTTCAATGTCAGATGTTTTAAGTATAGAATTAAACACAGCACTTTTTTTTTATCTAGGATGCCGAAACAATCTATGAGTATTGAAAATGCAGGAAATCATCGATGTGATCTACCTGGCGGACATTGTACATTTAATAATTATGCAACCAAAAAAACTTTGGCTAATAGTAGTTTTGAAATAGCATTACTCGTAACAAATGCTGTTCAATTAAAAACTCTTCTTGGTCATAAAACAAATGAAGATACACTCTGGTACGTTGGTCTTATACTTGTTTGTGTCTCATTATTTATTCAAGTTATAAATGCATGTATATTGGTTTTATTGGGTACTGATGATATATCAAAAGAACGACGACAACATCGTTTAGTATTATTAAATAATTTTTCACTTATATTATCTGTTATTTTAGCTATTGTAAATGTTGTTCTTAATGTAATTGTTGCTGTTGATCCACAAATTCTATCACAAGCACTGAATGGTACTAAATCAGTTTAAAAATATCTCTTGTACATAATGAAAAAAAATTCTCTTGTATTCAATTCAATTAGAATTTTTTCTTTTGTTTTATTTTATTCAAAAACTAATAAAAAAAAAAGAAATGCAAATAATTAATCACAACTACCATCTGTTGGTCCATCTTTCCATCTTTCTAATACTCGTTTACAATCAAATTCAGGTTTTCCTAATTTTTTATTAACTATATTATGTTGTTGACACATCCATGTTGAAATTGCAATACAACTTGAAACATCAGGTGGTGATTTAATAATTTCTTCTTGAAAATCAGTTCGACATTCAGGACAAGGAAATAATTTAGAAAATGAATTAATAAATTGTTTCATTGATTGTTGTTCTTCTTTTTTTGGTTCATTTGGATAATAAGCGGCCATCGTATGAAGTAATGACCATGTTGCACGACCTAAATCATCACGCATTAATGGACATTCAGAATTAATTGAAATTTGTTGTTCAACAACAATTGATTTTCTTTCAGTATTATTATTATTATTAGTACTATGTTTTAACCAATCTTTAAAATCAATACAAGCTTTACAAGGTTTTTCAAGATGATTATCATCGATTAAATGAGAATTAAAAGGAGTTGAAGATTTTTTTGAATATTCATGATTTTCATCATTTTCTTTTATTCCTCGTGGACGGCGTTCATAACCACCACTATCTGTAGAATCAGGATCAACAAATCGTTTGTACATGTGAAATGAAATCTATAAAAAAACAAAATACATATTTCATGCACTGATAAGTTTAACAGCTTCGATTAAAAATTTTTTTGCATAAAAAAATAAACTGTACGGTACAACGGAAAACGAAATGATTAGAGAGAAATCGTATTGATTCGATTTGTATTTCAATGCTTGATTATATATTCAGCACAACGACATTTTATGTCATGTTGAAAATGTCGAATAAGATCTTACTAAATACAATCTAATGTCTTTTATGGTTTCCACCTCACTCGACGAAATTCTAGATGAATTAATCTAGTGAACTAGAGTTTTTTTCTTATTCGATAGGTATCAACATTAAAGTTTTAAGATTTTGAGGGTCTTAAAAATGAAATATGATTACAATTAAAAACGCTTTTACTCATCCGAAGCGGTGAGGAGTTCTATTTGAAATGAGAGTAGTCTGAATGCTGTAGTTTTAAGTCTATTGAAAAAATATTCGAACGTGTGAAAGTTCCTTCATCCACGATTGTAACTAAATATTTTTATTATCCGTTAAATATGTTTTTTTTCATACAATTTCATGTTACATCACATAGAAAAACAGCATTACCTTGATCATATAACCTACAATAGTTTTATATTTTGTTAATAATACATGCTGCCATTTCTAAGAGAAATTTTTTTTCATTTTTTACAAATCATTCTGTTCATCATAAAAATTAAAAATGAATATTAAGTTCTATAGAAAACTATTCGAACCATAGCTTTTTTTTCAATGTCAATTATGTTAGACGTAGAGATTGGTAAAAACAAGATCTTTATCCATGAAATTTCTTCTATGTGAACAAATAGATATTAATCTTTTCAAATTACTTTTAGAAATGAATAATGTTTTTGGGTTTGAGTCAGAGAAGATATTAATGATACTTGTGACTTTGATAGACTTAGTTCTGAAAATGTCTGAGTAGTCAAATGTTGACTGATCACTTGTAGAACTGGAAAGAAAAGTATGAAAACTTCTTGTTATATTATCAACTATTTCATAAAATATTGTCTTAAGAGAATCAAATGAAGGACAGTTAATAAAAGCTATCTACCTTAAACTACAAGACTCCGTCGATGTTTTTCAGCTGAGATAAACAGAAAGTTTTTGTATCTAAAATAAAAATATTTTTTAATCAAATATGAACTAAATCGAAATAACATAAACTATGACAAGATCGAATCAGAGATTATTTCCAATTGTTAGATACCATTTGACTTCTTATTTCACCTATTCAATTTTTCTGACGAAAACAGTCTTCCAACTGTTTAATTGTTTTCGAGTCGTGACTGTGTGCATTATATAGATCCAAATGATATATGAATATCTTGAAATGACTTCGTGCTCTTAGCGTATTGCTACAAACATACTGCACTTTTACAATACTTCTTAAATAAATTCGGTGATGCAGAAAAACTGATTTTTGAATTTCGACTTGACATTTTGCATAGAGACAGATCTTATTACAAGTAGTTGTTTGCGAATTTTTAGGCCTTATCGCTGTTCCTATGCTAAGATACAGCTGTAGAAATAGAGTGTCTGTTACATTACTCATGTAAACCAATAGATTTCATGTTCTTATTTCAAGATGGAAATAAATTGAAAGCCCTGAAACTTTTATAAAACACCCTATTTTCGTTAAAGTCTGTTTCAAATGCAAAGTTTGAAGTCGAAATTTGAAAATTTGTTTTTCTTTTACCATGGAATTTATTTAAAAAAATATCGTGAAACTGTAGCATTTCTGTAGTAAGAAGTTAAGGACACGAACTCTTTTTCAAAGTATTCATATCTTATTGGAATCTACATGATTCCCATAGTCTCGGCTCAAAAGGGATGGAACAATTCGAGAAATTTCCGTGTGAGATTGTGACAATCTTTGGAATGATTGAACCATGATAAAAAAATTCTAAAAATCTATCAACGCATACAGTTAGGTTTCTTATTATCAATATTCCTATCCTCTTAATATCAAACGAAACTTAATATAGGATTTTATTGTTGCGAATATGTTTTCTAAAGAGTCAAAATAAGTAGTGCATAATACAAATCAAATATACTCAGGTTAGACATTTTTTTAAATGAATTTTGAAGAGAAAATGTTGAACTATCTTACGAAAAATAACTTAAATCTCTACAATCATGTTACATCAAGACATAGAAGAAGCATAACTTTTTGCCATATTCTGTCATACAGGATATTTTAAGTAATAACATTAGGAGTTTGTAATAGAAAAATCTCTCTATAATTGTATAAATCTTACGAAAACATATTTGTAAACAAATTGCTGTTTCGTAGTTAGTAATATTTTCTCGTAAGGAAAAAAAAACATGGACATTTAGATTTACTTTTAGATTTCAATATAAAATTGAAGTATAAAAAGTTCATCAAAAAAAAATGAAATAGATGAATTAAAATATTGAATATAATATTTCAAAAATAAAGAAAACAAAAAAAAAGTAAATCTGGACGGAAAAATAGTTGCACATAAAATCAGATAATTTGTTTAAAATTGTTCGTCTCTGTCAATATTATTGTCATCATCATATGTTTTTGGTTTAACATGTTTTCGTTTTTCTTTTTTAATCTTTTTTTGTTGATGTAATTTTTTCACTGTTTTTTCTCGTAATTTTTTTTTATTTGTAAGACTACTATTACGTATGAATACAATCTAAAATATAATAAAAAAAAAATAATCAATATATTAACAAAAAAAAAAAAGATATGATATGAATATTACTTGTTTTTCAGCTAATTCTTCATGTCTTAATTTATAAGCAACAACAAAAAATATAGCACCAAGAAAATAAATAAAACCAGGTGATGTTAAAAAATTAATAATTGATATCCATAAGACAGATGATTGATATTCATTTGAAAAAACTTCAATAACTTCATATGAAACATTCAATTGACGAAATGGTCCACAATTTTCACTTGGTTTTATTTGTGTTGTAAATACAACAACACATGTTACACTTACTATTAAAATAATATATGCCAATAAATATATCATATATTCAAGACGATGAGCATTCCAAAAAAGAACACGTTTATAGGAACTTGAACCAAGTGAACGAATATATATATATAAACGATGGGAAATAAATGAAAATAATATATTTATTAATATCATTATTGATATAAGTGGAGAAAAATAAATTCCAAGCCATATAAGAAATTGACTATAGAGTAATACAGGTGGACTTAATTGAACATGTAGATTAATACCATCGAAATTGAGACTCTTTTTACCACACATTATATCGAATAAAATACCAAATAAAATTGGAAAAATTAATGATGCAAATAAATCTAAAAGAAATATTTTAGATTTTAATAATTAAAATATTTTGTGAAATTTACCTGATAATAAAAGTATATAGATATATTGACCATAAGCTGTTTCATAACATAAAGGTGCATTAACAAAAAAATATATAGTAAAGGATAACATCGTACATATGTTCATAAGAATACATCTAAACAAATATTTCATTGAAGAAAAAATTTCTTGAATAAGTTAGTAAAAAGTGTTTGTGACTAATTAACAAAATGTAACTCATTTTCGAATTTTTTTTTCCACAAAATATTATCGAACTTTTCACTGTTGATAGCTTCTCTTTTCTTGAAATCATTTTATTTTTAGTTAATCAAGTTATTAATTTGTAAATATGTACTAAAGTTATAATCTGTTAGATTGGTCTCCAAAATCAGAACTGAGATCGAAGTCTATTCAATGAATGATTGCACTCTCAAAGTAGCAGATCAATTTGATTTAATTATTATAAGATTACTGTCAAGATTGTGTGAAAACAAACTCTGTCTTTAACAAGTTTTTTTGGATGTATGTCTAAATGAACAAGACTAACCGAGTAGAATTTATTATGATATCAAGTTGTTGGTGTCCGTTCTACTGATTTTGAAACCTTTTGTTAAATCAAATTTTAGGAACCTTGCTGACTCAATCTTTTCAATGGATTGTTGATTAAATTAAACTCATAACTTTCTAATAAACTGAATGAAAAGCTTAGATGATTTAAGTGTTACAAGGGTTGATAAATCGAAGTTAGTATATTCTATTTTGCCAATTTGAAAACTTATTCACTTATCAAAGTCAACACTTGTGAAAATCCACGAGATGCATTCAGATACAGCAGTTAAATCAAATAGAATTCAATGATTTGTCCTCCAAGTCTAATTCAATTTTTCGACCATCCTAGTAGGATGTAAAAAAGAGAGACGGACTAATTAATTATTCATTTGTGTCTAAAGCTGTGCAAGATAAATGTTTGAAAGTTTTTCTCAGTCAAGATACAAGATACGAAAACAGCTTATTCCGCACATTTCTATTTGTGTTATTACATGGTTAGAAAAGTTAATTCATTTAGTTACACATATAATTATTTTCAAAACAATGCCTTTTATCTTTATCATTTTAAATAGAGTTTTTGAATATTCACCTAAATCCAACAGTATCTAATTTATCAGCTAAATATTGAAAATGTTCAACTTGTGCAAGAAGAACAATAAAATATGGTATTAATCGATTGATGAAAGCTACATAAATAATTGATCCCGAACAATCAATAGTTGGATTATCACAAGAAGATAAAATTAGCCAATTGATAGCACCTTTAAAATGAAAAAGCAAAAAAAAAAAAAAAAAAATAAATTAAATTATTTGTTGTTATTTTTCTTACCTAATCCAATAGCTAATAAAATGTACAATAAATTTTTTATAACCATTTTAATTTTATATCCACGAATTTTATTTTGATTCTGATGATTTGATTCAATTCTTTCATCATTTTCAATTAAATCTAGAAATTGTCTATGAAAAGCTGTCATATGTTTTTGTTTTTCTTTATCTGTTTTAATTGTATAATCATGTCGTGCAAATGTACACATAAATCCTATACCAAGTTTAGCACTTAATATTGAATCAAATAATTTTCGTTTATATGTTATTGCAAAACGTATTGTAATAAAAATAAACCAAATAATAAAATAAATATATGTTGTTATTAAATATATTAATGATAAATTATATTTCTCATCTATTATTTCTTTAGGATAAGAACCTTGAAAAAGAATTGTTTCAGATAAATAACCTTTTGTAGTAAATATTGATGAAAATGTAAATGTAACATTTGAAGATGTTGTTGATGATTTTAAAATATTATATGGTATAATGATTAATGCAAGCCAAACAATTAATGTTAATAAATTAATAAGAAAAAATCCAGTTTGAAGATGAAATAATGCACTAACACCAGAACCATATTGCCGTTCAACTGAAGCAATTGTTGGAATAAATATATGAAAACGACGATTTTGTTTGATACTTGCTGTTGGATCAAATACAAAATTAGCGATATTATCAAGTTTACCCTGATTATCAGATAAATCTCTTTGAACACGATGAAGAAGTAAACGTTTAAATGAAAGTGGCCAATCAATTTTTGTTTGAATATAACCAGTTATTTTTGAATAATCTTGATCGAATTCATGAGATAAAGCTTCTGCTGTACTACGATATATTTCTGAAAGAGAAAAATTAATATGAGAAGCATTGATTACTTTGTAATAAAATGTATGATATGTTTTTCTATGAAAATATAGTTTCAATTCAAATTAGGCATCGATCAGCATCCAGTTCAATTCGTGGAAATGAGCTATGCAAAAAATTTTCTTCTGCTTTGGAAATAGTATTTCAGTAAGAAATGATTTTTTCGTATTCGAAAGTATCATTCCTCATAGAACTGAACTGTTCGAAGAAAGATTTTCAACATATTCAAATTAGAGTTAAATTTTTCGATCATCCATGCAAATTAAATTTAATATTTCTGAGCAAATATAAAGATTTGCATCACTGTCCAAGCCAAAAAGGAAAGAGTGAACTTCAAGACTTCATGAAACTTTGCCAGGCATAAAGATATTAGAATCAATAGGATTCGTTATTTTTTGCACATGTTAACAATCAGACGAAAACTGTACAAAAAGTTTCAGTTTCAGAAGTCTTACAATAAATCATTTTATGAGATTCTTGGAAGATCTTGCTACTATGTAAGATGGTTCTATGAGATGATAGGAATTCCTATATGTTGGTGAGATCTCACAAAAATCTTACACTAAGATTTTAGTGTCAAGTTGCTGAAACTAATGAGACGACATATCCAACCGTCGAACACGATTCGATCCTTTAGTCTGACTTTAGTTAGGACCGATTGAAACTAAGAAAAACCTAAATGGATTCGAATCTATATGTTATTCAATCAGACTTATGATCATTTTAGTAGTTTTTTGACTTTTAAGCCAGCTATTCATAGCAAATTCAATGAGAAGATTTTTATCTAAAATTTTGTTCATAAGTAAGGCTCATGATCTTTAGAGTATCTTGAAAGTCTCAGCTCAAACGAATATATACTTTCTAGAGATCACACTCGTTTCAACTGTAACTCTTAAGATATTCTAGTAGTTGTGAGTCCTATCGATGAACGAAATCTCAACTGAAAATCTCATCATTAAGTTTTCCTTCCTTTTTCTTGGATTTTCTTAGTTTCACTGAGGTCTATTCAGAGTCAAAATATTGAGTCAAACAGCATTGGACAGTTTGATATATTTCCTAGACGATGTATTCACATTGTCTTCGGACAGATATTTGATAATTATCATAGATTAACAAATTAATATTTCTTCTGCTCATTATATCATGAAATGGTGCAGGTGCATAAGTCTTCTCTTAAGTAACGCTCATATCTATACTACATCGTCCTTCTATAAGTTTTTGAGTATTTATGCATTTTAGAAGTATTGGAGACTTCTTTGATGACGAGGGATTAACGATTTTGTTTTATCTTAAGTCTATTTTATTAAATAAAATCCTTTGCAAGAAATTGCTAATTTTTCCGATTAAATAATAAGAGTTAGTCGGAATCGAATAACATAATGACTTATCGAAGACTAGAAAAGTTTTCGATTTGGATATAAAATTAGAAATGTATTTCCTACAAGATTTTAATTACGTAGCTTCGATTTTGAAGAAAGAATAATTTTAATACAATAAATCATGCCCTTTTTTTCTAATCATTTGCGATTACCATGATTTATTCTAAGTATGTTTTCATACGTTGAATAAATATTTTTAATAAAATTTAACACATTTATAGATAACATTGACGAGATTTATTTGTTTCACCTTGTTAAAAAAAAAAAAATTCTTTTCATTATTTCATTTTCTAAAACGTAAAATATAAATAATGTTTTACTGACAAGTTTTTTTTACGTAGAAGAAAAGAAAATACCAGAATAATTCTACTATGTTAAATGTGATTTTTTTTAATCTTAACCAATAGTTTATTCTTAGAGGTTGTTCTTGTTTCAATATTCGAATAGAATTCTCCTTACCATTTGCATTTTGTGGTCGTTTTTCTAATAATTTTCCATATTGATCAACAAAATTTTGTAAATTTCCTTTTTGTCGTACTGCTTCAGTTATCTTGGCTTCCATCTAAAACTTCTACGAAATGAATCAAAAAAAGTAATTTTTTGTTTTTTTTTTGTTGTTGACAGCAAAAATATATAACATATAACAAGAAAAAAATGTCGGCAAACAGAATCGTTCGAATATCATTTTTTGTCTCTTTCATTGAGTCATTCTTCATTGAAGATAAGGAAGAAAAAGTTAACAAATGATCACAGAGTTTTTTTTTTTTGTTTTTATACAAAAAGCAAACAGGATAACAAAAAAAAATCAACAAGAGCATATAACGATTCGGACTAGTTGAGAGTAAAAGATTTGTTTAAGACTCTCATTCAATGACACATACACCACCAGCTGCTTCAATTTTTGCTTTCATTCTTTCAGCATCTGCTTTACTTAAATTATCACGTAGAATTTGAGGTATTGATTCAACTAATTTTTTTGCCTAAACAAACCAATCACACAAATGAATGTAGATAGAAGATATATATACGTATGAACAAAAAAACAATACTCACTTGAACAAGATTGATATTTTCCACAACGTCTTTTACTTGTTTAATCACAGGTACTTTTTTTGTTTCATCAAATTTAATTAAACGTACTTTAAATACGGCTTGAGATGTTGGTCGAACACCTTCGTCTTCTTCTTCTTCTTTTTTCTGTAATAAATGCAAAAAAAACAAAACATTCAAGAATAATTGATACATGAGTGAATTGCAATCTCTGTACGATGAAGATTCGAAGACTATTTTTTCATGCTTTATTCTTGACTTTTTTTCTTTGATATCAAATATATATCGTTCATATCCAAATAGTGATTTGAATAGTCAATAAATCTCTCTGTCAAATGTATTTGACATTGAAACTTTTTAGATAAACTATGAGAGAAAAGTTTTTGAAAAAACTTTCCTTAAAAAGTTATACGCATTACAAAAAAACAAACAACGCTATAATAAATTTCAAGTTGTGATACTTATAATTTTTTAGAAAAAAGTCGTAGGAAATGCGGTAGATCCTCATTTCGATCAGAATTTTATGTTCTTCAGAGTGGCGCTCTTAAAAATTAATTTTCATACGATTTTCTGAGATTTGAAAACTATTGTGTTTGGTTTTTCAAAAAATCTTTCTCTCATAGTACATCTATGAAATATCGGTATTGAATACATTTAAGATAGAATTCTTGAAACAGTATTATCGAATATTGTAGACAATAGACACAAAAATCCTATAAAATCATCTATGAATCATTAGGATCAAATTTGGAAAGTGAATATCTCGAATTTAAAGCATTGAAATTCATTTATTGTAATATTTTCTGAATATTCCCAGAAGAAACGATGGCTATCATCCAGAATAAAGCATTTTTTTATGAAAAAAACAGATGACAGAAAAATTCATCTCAAATTACAATATGTTTGTGTCATAATAAATCAACATAACTAGTACAATAAAATGCAATTCACTCATAGAAAGAATTAGACGTACCGGTGCGGCCGGTGGTGGTAGAACACTGCCTCCTCCCGATGCCACAATCGGCACGTCTTGTATATTGAGTGTTTTCTATAGGAAAATAGAAAAGAAACAATTAAATTAATTTTCTTTTTTTTTTTAAATTCGAATTATGAAATAAAAATCTCTAGATAAATAAAAATCTTTACTTTTAATAATTCATTTAAATCCATGACTTCAACCAACGATAGTTTACTTATTTCATTAACAATTTGATGAATTTTTTCTGAATAAATTTTATTTAATTCAGATACATTTGTTGTTGTTGTGGAAGAATCTACTGTTTTATCTTGTGGTATTGTTGTCTCAGTTTTTTTGTTATCTTTTTTAGTTTGTGTTGATGATTTTTCAACATTTATAGTCGATGTTTCTTTTAATTTTGTTGTAGCAGTTGATTGAATTTGAGTTAAAGATAGAAAACGATTATAAATTAATGAGGGTACAGAATTTTGAATAGATCGAAAGACCAAACGAGAACACATTCTTTTTTTTTCTTTTTTCTTAATTATCAATATTCAAAAAAAAGACGAAAGAAGAAAAAATGTTTAACATAAAATTAATTGGTTTATATCATAGGCAATCATACAGATTAACTTTAAGGAAGTACGAGGACAGAATAGAGTTCTAATGGTAGAGTAAAAAACCTTATTGATCGAATATTATCCAATAAAAAACAATCTACATGCCGTCCATAAGTCGGCTGATGACGAGGCGTATTCAAAGAAACAAGTAGAAAATCAACAGATACTAAACAAAACAAATACAATACAAAAGATTTTCTTTTTTTTTCTAAATAGTGTACTTAATTATTTTCTATTTATTTGTAGAATGCCAACGGCATTTCCAAATATTATTGCTGCTTATTTGTCATTATTGTAAATGTGCTATTTATTTATTTTTTTTTTAAATTGGAAATTTCTTTTCTTATTTCTAGTTGTCGTTTTGTTGTCCATGGGCCAGTGTATTGAAAAAACTCGTTCAGACAGAAGATTGATGTCACATAATAATAACAATAATAATAATAATAATAATCATCTATCAGTTTCAACAAAACACGTTAAAAAAAAAGCTAAACAAGACGCATCTGAACAACAATCAAATCAATATCGTCATTCATATAGACAAATGAATACAACAACTACAACATTAGAACCTCGTCGTGATTTACCATTACATAAAATTCCTGAACTCCTTGCTAAAATAACTGGAACATTATCATCTACTCTTTCATCATCATCATCAGATTCAAAACAGTCATCATCATCAACATCTTCATCTTCTAATTCAAATTCAAATGATCGTCGTTTACAATTATTTAAACATTATTCTGATGATGAACAAATCATGTCTGTTGATGGTATACTTCGTCTTTGTAATGATTTATCTATTGAACCTGATTGTTATGAAGTACTTTTATTTTGTTTTGTATGTCGTGCTAAACAAATGTATTCATTAACAAAAGATGAATTTATTCTTGGTCTTAAAACACTTGGAAATCATATTGATAATTTATCAGATCTACGAACATCATTGTTTAATTATGATATATTACCATATGAAAGTGAATTTTATAGTTGGACGTATCATTATGGTTTAATTGATGGACAGCGTTGTGTAACAACGCAAAATGCCATTAGTTTATGGCGTTTATTTTATTCAAAAGCAATAAAAAAACCTCAAATACTTGAACAATGGTTAAATTATTTAGAACAAGATATAAATAATGAAATACCAAAAACTATAACATGTGATACATGGACAATATTTCCACAATTCGCTAAATTTATTGAATTAAATGGTTATAAAGCATACGATGATAATGAAGCATGGCCATGTCTATTTGATGGATTTGTTGAATATCAATTAGAACAACAAAAGGCAATATCATCAACATCGATTGATTAATATTATTTTACAGTGATCAATTTTTCTTTTTGCAAATATCTTTTTCTTTTCTTTTATCTTTTGAAAATAAATATTAAAAAACCAGAACAATTTTTGTTGTCTTTTATTTGTTTGAAATGTCATATTGATTTTTTGACTTTGACAAAGATAAAAAAAGAACTAAACTATCAAGATCAGTATCTTTTCTTTTTCTGGAGATTTGTTTTTTTTTTTCTATTCGATTTGTAAAATATTCCCTGATCTTTTTATATGATAATCCGATGAAACGCTTGTGATATGAAATTTTATTCGTATGTTGATCTCCGAAGATACTCGAAAAACTCTCCATCAAAACGAACACTTCCCCTTTAAGGCACTGAATTTGTTAGCAAACCCGACATCATTAGATCAGTATAATAGTTACATATCAAATTTAAACCCTTTCATATAGTTTTTTTTTTTTTTGAAAGCTAGAACTCATTTTTAGTCTCATTGAAACTAAGAATTGTGTTCCCAGGTGAAGGAACATTCCATTGTGAAACATCAATATCACAAGAAAAAAGTCTCCTTAGGGTTTTTTTTTACAATAAAAAAAAGCATTTATCAATGTTGTCGATTTAATTAGGGAAATAATTGATTGTTTCGTAGTATTTTGCAGATGAAAATATTCTCGGGAACAAAATAATAGTTTTTTGATCAATACTCTTGATAATATGGATTCTATATGAGCCGATAGTCAATATATTTTGAGGAATCGTTTCAGTTTAAATCTTAAATCAAATAAGACTAAATCCATCTATTCAAGTCTAGATGTGAAGAAATATATTTTTAGTTTTATATAATCAAACTTTGAATGCATCTCCTTGACCTTGTATTATTTTTTTTCGATCATTCTTCTATATGATAAAAATCATTTTTTTTTCTCTAATAGTTTGACAGTGTGAAATCGATTGGTAGCCTCTTGGTTGTAATGAGTCATCCAGGTTGATATTAGTTTTGAAAAAAAACATCAACAATTATTTAAATGGATTTGTATTGATTTTTTTCTTTTTCTCTGTGTCTATGCGCATAATAAATCATTAGTTCATTGACAATGACTCATATTTTCACTTCCACTTTTTTTTTTCTCGTTCTAGATGTAATGTTCTTTTATTTAACTATTCAATCATTCAGATAGTGTGAGAAAAGAGTAAGTTACTTGAAAATAGTATGAAAATCAGAATACAAATTGAATTTATTATATTGTAATCTAGTGAGCAAGCCACCCTCTAAATTAACTTTAAAACCATTGGATTTTCAACAACCACCAAAAAATACTACAGAAAAACCACCTTCCGATTCGACAGATGTTAATCGTATACCGTAAGTAATTTTTTGTCTTTCACTATTTAAAATTCATTCGATTAATAATTTTATTTCTATAGAAAAAATATAATCGATAAAAATTCGATTATCTCATATGTGTCATAATGAATCGTAAATGATTCATGTATACATAACAAAAAACAAAAATAGATATAATAACTGAGAATATCATACGAATTATCATTTTGATTATAAGAGATAACTTCAAAGTAGTTATTTTACAAGAATTGTTACAATTAAACAAAAGTTCACATTCATAAGATCTTTTTCGATCTATCTAGATTATAGAAGATGTCGAATTGCTTATTAAAAAAAACAAAAACTTTTTCTCTGTCGTATCGATGTTTTTGCAGAAAATACAGCCATTTTAATATCTCAATGTGAAAATGTTCAAGATCATATTATTTTACTCGAAACTCGTTTGTGAATGAGAAAATGATTGATCAATTGAAAACATTTCCTCGTAAGAGATAGAAAGAAAATATTAAAAATAACATTATGACAGTAGACTTTTAAAATTCAAAATAAACAATCTGCTATTCTTTATTCAAGGTGTTAAGATTTTTTAATTAAACATTCATGGTGATAATGAACAATTATATTTCGACTTAATTTTTATTTTTCCAAGTGACTCATCAAGAAATATAGATTTTAAATATTTGCTTTTATTTAATAGTAGTCGACCAACTTCATCAACATCGAACCATCGTGATCTTAGTACTGGCCAACTTCATTTGTCTGATACAAAAGTTTGTTTGTTTTTTTTTTTAAATTTATAGGTTTTTATTTTTTTATATTTGTTAAGGTCTATAAATTTACAGCCAATGATTTAATTGATCGTGGTGTTATTGGAGAAGGTAATTTTGGAATTGTATGTAAAATGGAACATGCAAAAAGTGGAATGATAATGGCAGTAAAAGTAAATCATATTGAAATCATCTATATTTTGAATGAAAATTTCTATTTTGTTTGTCTATATTTTTTAGCGAATTCGTTCAACTGTTGATGAACGATGTCAAAAACAAATGCTCAATGAATTAGATATTGTCATGCGTGAAAATACTTGTCCACATATTGTTAAATTTTATGGCGCTCTCTTCAAAGAAGGAGATTGTTGGATTTGTATGGAATTAATGGATACATCACTTGATCGTTTTTATAAATATGTTTATCATAAACTTAATCAGTGTATACCTGAAAGTGTTCTTGCTTATATAACTCTTGCTGTATGATTATCTCATAAGAGTATTTAAATTAATTCTTCTTTTTTTTTTTTTTTGTTGAATTGTTTTCTAGGCTTTAGAAGCGCTTGATTATATAAAATCTCGTTGGCAAATTATTCATCGAGATGTAAAACCATCAAATATATTAGTTTCTCGAACGACTATTAAACTTTGTGATTTTGGTATAAGTGGTCAGTTAATTGATTCAATTGCTAAAACACGTGATGCTGGTTGTCGACCATATTTACCAGTAACATTCGTTTGATTTCTTTTATTTAAATCTATTCTTATATATTTAGCCTGAACGAATCGATCCATTACGAGCTACACGTGATGGTTATGATGTTCGATCCGATGTTTGGTCACTTGGCATTACTATTGTAAATATTTTTCTTTTCAAAGAAAATTATACTAAACATAAAATTTATAAATATGTATATTATAGTATGAAATTGCCACAGGATATTTTCCATTTCGAGAATGGACATCTGTATTTGATCAATTACAACAAATTGTAGAAGGTCCTCCCTTACGACTTAATGTTGATCGTCTTTCAAATAATTGCAAAGATTTTGTAAATACATGGTAATAGAAATATCTTCTTACTTTTAAAAAAAAAAAAACTTTATCTAATTTTAACAAATTTAGTTTGAATAAAGATGAAAATCAAAGACCAAAATATAAAAAATTATTAGAACATGCATTTGTACGAAAAGCAGCAACGCCACAACAAACTGAAAATATAGCGGCTTATTTTTCTGAGATAATTGATGGACTCGCAGAAAATACGGATACATTTGAACTTTATTATTATTTACCGTCTGATTCTTCAGCAACATCAAATCCTCGGTGACTAACTTGTGCTATTGAATGAATTTCATTTTTTCTTGATTATTTATTTATATTTCAAAGTAGACATAAGGTCAAAAAAAAACAAAAAACTTTATTTGTATCGTCCTTTTTCTTTTCTTCTGTATTTTTTTGATCAAGGAAGTTTTTCCTTGTAGGATTCTTTATTCTCGCTTATTTCATATTGATGTTGTCAATCGATGGTTGTTGTTATTTCCATTCTTTGATAGAACAATTCTTCTTTTTCTTTTTCTGCGATATTCTGTTTGTTGTGTCTGTATAAAGGTAATGTTTGATGAATATCTATTGCAAAAACAAAGAACAAAAACAGACAAAAAAAGTGTCATTCCACAATTAATTAGTAAAAATTTGAATGAATATTTATGATTATTTTTCTTTATTGCATGAAGTTTTCGTAGAGAACTTACAGATCTATTTAAAATGATAGTGTTTGAAATACTCTTATTTGCATAATAAAATGAAGAAATATAGTACTTTACAATGATGGATAAACTTTTTTATACAATTTTCAAATCAAATTATTTTTTCTTAAACAGTTAGACGAACTATATCAAATGACTTCGAATATATTTGAATGAAAAGAGAAATTTAATGATTATGATATGTAGAGTTCTTAATCTTAATATCGTTTCTTTTTAATGTCTGATAAAATGTCTATCAATTAAACACGCTTTAAGATATAGTTTACTAAGTAGATTTTAAATTTAATTGAATTTTTATTTTGAAATAGTGTCATATAGTAATGGAATTCCAAAACGCAACGAAAATGATTCTATTGTTTTTTTATTTAGAAAGTCTCTGCATTGAACATTTTTGTCTGACTATCGATATTACAATATGTACTACTATTCAAGGTTAACTGAGTTCAATTGAAGAAGGTTAATTGAATGAGATATATCAGTGTGATTATACTTCAGATTGTGAAATTTGAAGAAATGCCATTAACATCATAAGTTTTGGCGTTGCGTGATCATAGTAACTGATCAAAGAAAGTCAACTGTATCAATATGATTATGTGCATAGAACTTCTTGATAAGAGAACTTGCGTCGTATTAGTTCTGATTAAATATTCTTTTTGGTGTCATTAGTATTTTCAGATAACTTCATAGTTCACTATTTGAAATAGAATACTTAGATAGGAGTTGAATACAGATGAATGTAAAAAAGAAAAACAAGACACTTTACTACATTGAAACAGTTAAAAATGGAACTAATTATATATGCTTTGATACTTTTGATAAATTATGAAATCTGTAACGTAAAAAAATGAGCGAAGAAGAAATAGTGCTTTGTGAATTGCTATACATCAAAACAAATGAAGAAAAAAAAAAGGCAAACTAAAGATATATTATGTACGAATTTTTAAATGTTGCATCAGTATAATAATGAGTATTGTGTTGTAGTTTACAATTTCTTGAAGTAATGACAAATGGTTCTCATCAATATCAAAACAAAATAATCTGACATTTATGATCGATAATTTAAGAATGTCTTCGTATTAATTCGATAGAATTGTTTTTCTTACTGATTATTTTATTCTTTGAAAACACATAAAAATCATAACAAAATGTAAATTATTCGATGTGACTACGCAACAATAAAAAGCCAGTAAAACATGAAAACTGACTTTTATCTTTGAGATGTGTGAGCAATCCTTTTCAACAAACATTAAGTTTCAATTCTATGAAACTTATACCATTCGATAGAGCGCTACGGAGCTACACCTAGCTTAATGAATGGGGAGAATGTTTTTTAGAAAAATTCGAATCAACTACTAACTCTTGATTTAAATGAATAAATTTAATAAATTCTTACTGTTAGAATAATTCGTCAGTGTTTGAATGTGGGATGTAGGTTTGGATATGAGTGCAGATCTTGTATTACTCATCCAGACATCCTAACTCACGTACTCACACTCACACGTCTACTCTCAGTCAACCATGCTCATACACACATCCATTCACACACGTATCCTTCTTTGTCTTGGGATGCGCTCATTGCAGAAATCGGACCATAGGCGTGCGTTAATCATCTAAAATGAAAACTGAATTTTACAAGGCTTCGATTTTATTATTCTTTAATTTTTAACGCATCATTAAGGATTGTTTCTCTGACTAGTTCTTTATGTTACCATTCTTCTGTTTTCTTACTTGTGGCGCTTGTTGCTTTAGGACATTGGTGAATAGTCGTATCTATTTTCAACAAGTAACAATATATATAAAACATGCCATTCGTAACATTGACAAAACTATGGTCAATCTAATCAGTAAGTTTAATATGTTCATCTTTACATGTTGTACTTACTGGATCCTTACTGAACTTGCTACCTGATTTCGGATGATACTATAGCAGATATGATCTATAGATAATAGCGTCCCAAACAAAATTATTTTCCATTGATACACCCTAAGAGAATTCGAAATATAAACTGACAATTTGGTAAAATAGTGGACAAATATTAATAAAACGAGTAATTAAACAGATGTTTAATCGTTTACTGTGAGATATTATTCTTCTTCATATTATAAACAGATATATTTGATAATCTTTTTCTCATCTTATATGAATAAAGTAAATCTACAATTTAGTTAAGTTCTTGTTAATATACAATAAAAACGATTGTCTGTACAACTTTGTCGGATTCAATATATGATCTTTCGAACACTTATAATAGTAATTTCAAAAGGATAGAAAACGACGAAAATATTCGTTTATTACAAGACGGACATTATTTTAGTAGAGAAAAATGCGGAGAAAGCATAATATTTGAGATCAAAACAAGCGGAAATGATAAAATTCACCATAAAGATGTCATGATGGCGCGATGCACAGCAGGGTTATTACAATCAAGGTTTTTGCTTCAGTTTCTTGATTTTTTTATATGCACGCTGTGACCTATATTCATCATGAACTATAAAACTTACTGCGACTTTATGTAAGTATTTTTAGAAACTAAATCAAGTAAAATTTAATGATGACTATCCTCTTACTTCTCTTCTAAATATAGTTTCTACTAGCTCTAGATGAATCAATATTTCTCGGTTATAATGATAAAATAACCAAACTTGATTTTGAGAATTTTATTCATATCTGACCAAAAACCGTTTTCACCGATAGCCAATGATCATAGATATGAAGCAAATATATGATTTGAATCTTTAATAATTAACCATAATCATACAGTATGTTTTATGCATTCGATTCTTTTAGTTAAGTAAGTTCAAATAATATTACAAAACTAAAGTGTTCGAATATTGACAACTATCATTAGAATAAAACCACATAAGAAAACTCTGTCAAAGCCAATACGATTACTTACGTTGAATTTTATACAGATATCGTTATGAGTCAGTTTCAATTATTTTTGCACTATTCTCGATGAAGTATATGTGTATGTGAATAAAGAAACATTCGAAAGATATTCTTGTAAACAAAATCTATCATTCTTCTATTAGATAGAGAAAACACGATTTTCATTCTCATAGTTCACTTATATTTTCTATTTTCTCGCTCATTAAATCTACTGATATTGCACAGCACGTCCTGATTCTATCTATATATTTATGAGATATGGCATTGAGGTCAGTTCCTGTTTTATGTTAAATCGCATCTTGATTTTGCTTTACACCGGAATCAGTTTCGTATTTTCCTTATCCATTAACCATCAAAAAGCATCTCATAATAAACTATGATATACTCCATGACTATGAATAATTTTCTATGTAATAGTTATGCCATTCAACTTCTTGTATAATCTGAGATATTTTTAAATTTGAAATTAATATACTTGTTTATTTGATATTCCTACAAGGATAATAGAACTAATGAGTTACTAATATGTTGTAGTTATTATTAATTTTCTTTTCTATTCTTTATTTTCATATTTTTTCTATTCTGAACTTGGAATAAAATGAAAATTAATTTCTGCTTGTTTAATATTACTATTGAACACATTTTTAGTCGGTTCAAGAAATTCAATAAAATTGGTAATTTTTATTTTATTCTTAGATTTAAAATGTTCATAACAGCAGATGAAAAACAAGATCATGAAATCGACAGTATCAATTTTAAAAGAAAATGGCAAAGAAGTAATATCAATCTTTTACAAACACATTTTTGAAGCTCATTCAGAATTATTAAATTTATTTAATCAAAAAACCGGTATACAATCATTAGCTTTAGCAAATATAATTTATTTTGCTGCTGAAAATATTGATCAATTGAAAGCACTTATGCCTCAAATATACACTATTGCACATAAGCATCGTGCTCTCACTGTTCAACCAGAACATTATTCAATAGTTGGCAAATACATACTTCAAGCTATTTCAGAATTCCTAGATCATAAAGTAACATCAGACATTTTAGATGCATGGTCAGCTGCTTACACAGTTATTGCTAACATTTTTATCGATACAGAAAAGAAATTATACGATGGTAAAACATACTGTGTTGGTATTAAACAATTGTGAATCAAAAGATATTTTTACTAATGAACTTATTGAGAATTATAATGAAGGTGATATAATCTTAGCAAGCTTACCAGCAGGTGCATTTGCTGTTGTCCATGATGCTAAACATCATTTATGTATTGTTGGTGGGATTGGTATTACTGTTTTATCAGCAATGATTGAAGGTTTATATAAACAAGATAAATCACAATCTGTAACATTGGTTCATTGTGTACCAGGAAGAAATTATGCTGCTTATATTGATCGAATGAGAATTTGTGTTCCAGAAAAACAATATCACATTTATTTTACCAAAGTAGAAATGTTTTAAAAGATCTTATTAAGAAAGTTGTGACTACTGAAACATATGTATACTTATGAATACAGTTGAAGATCATTTAGAAGCATGTCATTCTTCATCATCACATATTCATATGAATACATTTCAATCATTATTTAGTATAATTAAAAACGCAGTCAAGAATCAAACGACAATCAAATCTTTATAAAATTCATATTGAATGTTAATCTAAAGATGCTTTCTTAATATTTATCTGTTGTCTTATCGTTTCAATGTTATATTTTATTAAGACCAGCATTTTTCTTATTAAATCAGCATTATATAAATATATATATATTTATTTGTCTGTAATCGAAATTAATGAGAAAAAAAATATCAGAAAATAAATTACAATATTGAAATACCAATTTCATTTTATATATGTAATTATGCAAATCTGACATTCGTCTTTTATTTTGATTGTTATAAAAAAAATGGTCAATATGAAATGTTGACATTTTTATAGTTGTTAGAATCGGAAAAGTTTATAATCTCCATTACTGACAGGGTATAAATGTATGATTGGCATGGTTGATAAAATTTCTCTGCTAAGTGTATTAGATTGACCGAGAAACATTCTCAGAATTAAAATTGACAGAAGTGTTCCTTTTTTTTTGTTGCTTAATTGAAAAATGTCTTGGGATATAAATAGAAAATAAGCAAAGTTACAAGTGTTTGACAAGATTAAGTGCTTCTGCATTGAAAATACCAAATTAAACGAGATGTCTTTTTTCCAAAATTAAACTTAATACTGTAACAGTAAATGACCGTTACACTTCACTTTCCAATGTAAATTCTTCTTTATACCGTATTGACCTTGACGATGTGTGTTCCTTAATATGACTTCTATATAAAAGTAGATTCATAGTGATCAATAAATAACAAATGAAGTAGTAAAGTAGATTATAAATATTATTATCAAGTGTAGCGATAGTGCTACTCCTTAAGTTCGTCATATATTTGTCTATATAAAAATTTCTTAATAAAAAATTAACAGCTCTCAAGTATAAATTTTTTTTTGTAAATTTAATGTGTTTTCGACTTCATTTTAACAGTCCATTGAAGAATCTTAGTAGTTTTGACAGGAAAACATTTTTTTTTTCACAAAATGGTCGAATAAAGAAGTAAATTATGTATAGTAATCTTGTGAACATCTGAAAAGAATACTTGACATTTGTTTCACATTTTACGCACATATTCTCTATAGTAAAGTTATCTAATAATATAAACAACTTTCATTTATTGAATATCGTACTCAATATTTGGTATAGTTCATACAAGAACAAAAAAAACAATTTTAAATTTAAATATCAGTTTACTTACTATTCTAGTTTTAAAAAATTCTAAAATTAATTCAATTAACATTTTAGTTCGACAAAGTTTACTGACAGTATCATCGCTATTTCAGATAGATTACTTTTAGTATGCATGATTTAATTAAATAAAAATAGATTTTTTCTTTCCCTTGACTTCATTGATGAAAAACAACAGGATATAGATTCACTATTTCTATTTTGATGAGCATTTCTTCTTAGGAAAAAAAAAAAACAAACTTTGACGCATTAGTTTAATTTAATGGTTATATTACTATTTCTAGTTCCTGTATTTTTGTCATTCTATTGAAAATTCTGCTTCAAAGATATTGATAAAAGTAATATTGCTTTAGAAAAAGAAAAAAAAAACTATTCTATTGCTATTATTGAGTATTAATTACAAATCAAATAGAAAAATAAAATCCTCGATTACTTCATTCTTCCATTCATTTGGTTTCGAACTAAGAAAAGGAAATTGAAAGATACTCATTATATAAGATAAGTGTAAAGAGGCATAAAATGGCTTTTAGATTCACTATTCATTACTAATACGTTTTTTTATTTATATTCGTGAATTTCTGAAACGTAAAGAGTTTTTCATCTATGCAAATACGATGACCAATATAAAATATAACGTTGATACGTAGTCGATGTTTTAGTCCTTTGTTTTTTTTTTCATAATTTCATTTACAAAAAAAGCATGAATTTGACATGTAGTTTAAGCATTGAGTCAGACCGAAGAAAATATTATTCATTCTGTTGATGAGTAGTATTTGTCATTTTTTGATTTTTTTTAGTGTAGAACTTAATTAATAACGTAGATGGAACGGCATAGGAAGTAAAAAGCATATCTTAATATTCTGTTTTTTTTTATTAGGTAAGCTTGACTAGTTTGTCATCGCTTATTCACGTTCTATGACGAATGAATTGTTGCTTGCTTGGTTTACTTTTACTTTTCTCTCTATTGGACGCTTCTTCTTTTTTCTTTCTATTATATCTTTCTCATCTCATTTTCTGTTTTCTATTGCATTCTTAAGTATTCTTATATATTTTCTACTATCAAAAACAAATAAAAGTTTTATACTACTTCAAATTTTGCTTCAATTAAGAAACCTTCGAATCAAATAAATTTGTAAGTCATAAAGTGGAAATAGTTGCGAATATTTATATGTTAACAGTAAATGATTTAAAAAAAACCAAGACTTTTCTCTTTAATAATCTGTAAGCTGCAATTCAATGCTCAGTATGTAATTAGAGAAAAAGCTGTGTTTTTTTTTAGAATTGGACTTTCATTAATAGACCGATAAATCATTTTTAAGTGGACTTTCGATTGCCTCCTTCTTGATGGAAAATTTTAGATTTTTCATTTTTGTGCCGAATATACGCTTTCAGACATCCTCTTTTCATTGGACATATTTCAAGAATAAATATATGGAAAAACTTGAAAATATGCAAGTTGTTTACTGAAAATCATCAAAGTTTACACATTATTTCGCTGCTTTTCATAAATGAATGTTGTTGACAGAAAAAAGTTGCGACTCGTGCATGTTTCTTAACCACAATAAATTCCATCGACATGAAGCTTTTTTTCTATTTATACTAGAGAATATTTATGATGTCTAGGTTTTCTATTTCAAAATATGATATATCGAAGGCTTTCGTCAGACTTTTCAAAAAAAAAATCCAATTAATAAAAAACACAAAAGAACATGTCTTTTTCTATCTATGCTTATTATCTTGATCATTGAATTCGAATGGAACGAGATAAAAAAAAAAGTAGGTATACCAAATAGTACTTAAAGTCCGTCAAAAATAATTTCAAATTTATCAAACGTATTCTAGTTGAGAACATGAGGCGATTATGCTTAGAAATCAGCTGAGGGCTTTTTGACCCCGATATTTTCTAGAACAAAGTATTTAAGAATTTTCAGTCTATGATAACTTTTGTTCCATCCATCGAGAATTATCTATTTTGCAATTTTCAAAACTTTTTTGATGAGTTGTTCTTCGAAAATGCCTGCTATGACAAGAATTGTTTGTATTGGTTTTTTAAGCAGTGTCTTCATGGGATTGTTTTTAGCGTTTGAAATCAATGTATATACTTTCTCTTATGGTTTGATGTCATTCTAATGTGCATAACCTAATTTCAACTTATAATGCATTATAGAACGGATAAAAACCAAAAACATTAATGTTTTATACAAGATGCGAAAATATTAAAAAATGTGGAGGACAATCTCATACAAAATAAATACGATAGTTTTTATCAGCAATTTGAGATTTGTCTGATCTGCTAGTGTAACTATTTGGATAAGTAAGACTTTGTTACAGTCTCGATTAATGAAAAAAAATAAATGTGAATATTTACAGATTTTTGATAGAAAAAAAAAAACAAGCAAGATTACTCACTCTAGAAAATAAGCTCATTAATAGATTACGATATGCATATTTAGTTATATCCTCTGTGGTTCTGATTTTTTTTTGAAATCGTTTCAATTTGTTTTAGCTTTAATAAATAATCTTTGATTGTTTCATATTCGCTATTTCTTTGAAGGAGCATTTAAAAATCACAAAAAAACAGAATCATCCGACACAGTTTGAATCAATCAGAGCGATATTGAAAAAAAATCAGGAATGCTACAAAGATTGTAATTATATTTAATCATACTAATCCTCTTTATCAATAAATCACTGTTTTCATATTAACAGTTAACTATGTATTAAATCATACTTGTATATTCAACTATGAGTTTAACAAATATTTGCATACTTGTTTAGTTCAGATTTAAACATTTCAAAGCAACAAAATGTATACAAATAAAAATAAAATATTAAACATATCTATTCTAGTCTTAATATTTATCAATTATTTTATTATTTTTCATTCATAGATTACAAAATGCCACTTACACAAGAACAAAAACAAATTCTTAAAACAACAGCACCTATGTTTAAAGAAAATGGAAAAGAAATTACATCAATTATTTATAAACATATGTTTGCAGCTCATCCAGAATTGTTAAATATATTCAATCGAACGAATCAAAAAAATGGTACACAACCATTTGCATTGGCAAATACAATTTATCTTGCTATTGAAAATATTGATCATTTAGATGTACTCTTACCTCAATTTTTACTTATCGCTCATAAACATCGTGCTTCTATGGTGTTACCAGAACATTATCCCATTCTTTGCAAATATTTACTTGTAGCAATCGATGAATTCTTAGGTGGTATGGGAGATCCTAGCATTTTAGGTGCATGGTCAGCTGCCTACAATATGATTGCAACTATTTTTATCAATATAGAAAAACAATTATACAATGAACTTGGTGATAAAAGTGAACAAGGATTTATTCCATTTATAATTACTAAAAAAGAAATACTTTCATGTGGACCAATTGTTGCTTTTACAATGGAACGTCGTGATGGTGGAAAAGTACATGATTATCATACAGGACAATATATAACACTTCGTGTTAAAAAAGATGGTCTTTATCATATTCGACATTATAGTTTAATTGAACCATTTAATGGTAAAACATATCGTATTGCAATTAAACAAGACAAAGATAATGAACCAAAAGGAATTGTTTCTACTGAACTTATTGAAAAATATAAAGAAGGTGATACTTTAGCATTAAGTTTACCAGCTGGTACCTATGGTTTAGTTAC